AGACAACGGCTGACGGAAACGCTCATCTCAGCTAGCCGGATAATCTAAACTATCAATGACTATCTGCCAGTATGTCGCCCGATCGGTAACGTTCGGCTTTGTTTGGCGCTTTTACTCATGCATTAACAAGGACCAAAACTTACTGACATTAGATGGCGCTTTGGTTGTGATACGGCTGCTGGGCTGCACAGGCGGGCTCACTGATGCTATTGCTGTGTTCGTTGGTTTGATTAAAAAAGGTCTTTAGACGCTAGGCCCGAACGACAACCCAGAACGGCAAATACACTAGGCCGACGTGGATAAGAAGTGATCGTTTACCGCCTGGAGGCCGTGAGACGGCCGACTGATATCGCTGGGTACAGCTGCGTTAAAAAGCTGAAGCTCCGTTCTATTTTGTTCCACCATCGTAACGATTAAAACTACGACTTCGCCGGTCAAAAAGAAACGTCTTTAGTGTTTTCGTCGTAGGTAGATCTACCAATGTGTATGCATGTGCCTGAATGTCTGCAAGTTTGCTCTCGCACCTGGGTATGTAGACTGACGTATCCTTATGTACGGAAGCCTTTGCGCTTCTTATGCATTATTTAAGGGCAAGGAACGAACAGCCGCTGCATTATGCACCAGCATGTAACTTCCGCTCCTCTTTGTGCCACCGGTATTCACGTGATGTTCGTATAGAAAAAAAGAGGGCGTTCAGGCGCGAGTTAAAGGTTAGGGGGCGGAAGAAAGGAAAAAGAGAAATTAAAGTAAAAAAACGAGCGAGAACGCTAGTTGAGACGCTGCTGAAGAGTCCGATGTACTCGGAAGTCGGAAAGCGCAACTGAGCCTGACGATGGAAGATGCGCACGTGCCTTTAACGCGTTTTTTGCCTACTTTATCGACTTTCTTTCGTTTTCATCCAGTTATTGTTTATCTTCGCATTTTCATTTGCTATGTTTCGCAGTGACAGAGAATCAGTCAAGCTGGACTCGTATAAGAAGACTACTGCCCTTATCCCAATAGCCGCCGTCCAACCAGCCGACATTGCGCGTGGAAAATTCACCATATTCGTCGACAAAACGAGGTTGTTCGTTCTGCTCTCCATTCTATTTTATTACATTATAGACAAGAAAATTGAACAGGAGAGCACGAGAAGAAAGGAATTAAAATGAAATACCCTACTGTTATCGGCGACGAAGGCAGGACGTACGGCGGCGCTTGTGTCAGTGTTGAAGCTGACTCATTTCGAGAGTCTTCGTGGCAGCGTATTGTTCGATGGGACAGAGCCAGTTGCGGGATCCTAGTCAATGATGTGAGCCTATTGGTCTGCGGTGTTACTGCAAATACTGCTAATGCGGTTCTGCTGGGAGCTGTAAATCGCTAGTGTAGAGAAGAGGAGGCTGAATTCACATTTTGCCGTTTCGTCAAGTCGGCTCGTCTGCAACAAGAGCAGCAGACGCAACAAAAGCAAAGTTTGTTTAGTTAGCGAAGAGATCCGCATTCATTGCCGCTAGTCTCAGTTACTGGCTCGTTTGCTTCTACCGTCGTCCCATACAGTAAGAACCTCTTTTTTACCGTGAGTAATTGAATTTCTACGAAGTATTCTTTAATCTTCATTAGCAGCGAAGCGGAGGATCATACGATGGGTGTGTGTGTGTGTGTGTGTTCCTGTAGGTAGAAGGAAGCTTTCTGGACTCCGGTTCTCGGGGAATGATGGCGGGACAGAAAACGGCGTCTATTCTTGTTGGCGTCCACGTCCATAAACAAACATACGTATCCGAGGTACACGTACGTGCAGGTACACTCCTCAATCGATCCGCCGTCTCCGTTGGTGTTTTCGCTGTTGTTGTTGCTGCTGTTTGACTAACGACATCGTGACTCTGTGGTTTTTCTCTTTTCCCTTTGTCGACAATCACTAGAGGCTGCATAGTTTCATGTTTTATTATTTGATTTTTTTACTACACGATATTAGATCTGGAACTCTTATGATATTAGTCGTTGATCGCCTGCCTGCTGTGCCACTTTCTGTTCACCGAAAGCGAGCTCTATGTTTTATATATATCGGTGAGCGCTTCGTATTACTTTATTCTCCGATAAGAATCTACGATGGCCGTTTTAGCGCTTGTGTGTGTGCGTTTATGTGCGATAGCGTATTGCAGTGAATTTGATTGAATTGAACAGAGTTTTTAAAAGGTCGCTGATTTTACAATCCACCATTGATTACAGGCGTTTGTCAAGGTACTAAGTGGAAAATCGAATGGGTCCAATAATTAAAGGCAACTATGAAGACCTTTGATGAGCAAAAAGTGACGTACGTGTACGTACATACAAATAATAGTAACAGCAGCTCGAACAGCTCTAATCGATGCAAAGAATGATCATTTCAGGACAGATGCGCAGTTTTTTTTTTCTATCGTTAAGAAGCGTTTATTCCTTTTGATTCATGCCAAGAGATCGCATCAACATTAAGTAATTCTTCATCAAACAAGCGTATACGGACAGCCATTATCATCGCACTACAAAAAAGCGAAATTTTTATTTGGAAAAAAATAAGCAAATTCACATGTTACCTTTACGGGAACCAGAGTAAACATACGAAGAAAATGATAGCTTCAACTATTAATTAATTGTACATAAACAGTATTATCTTCACAACTGCTAAATCGTCTACCGTTCTTCAAATCGCAATAAATGTGTTCTCAAACTAGAAAGATGTCATTAATCTTAGCTTGACATTAATTTTACTGTTTACTGTAGTACACTTTCGCCAGTGTCAAATATTAAGTCACTGGATCTTCTTCCGATTATTATATTGCTACCATTATCCAGTATAATCAGATGTTGTCATTGTTACGAGAACCAAGACTTTCACATACGTTTTGAATCTTACTCAGATTTATTTTGCTTTAATTAACACCGATTTACTAAAAAGATGTCAGCCTTCGAGATGTAATAGTTTGCGGAGTGGCGCTAAATACGCGGGATGTGGTACGACTGTGGTGGCTACATGCGTGCCCTATACATGGCCTGTGTATGGTTGTACGTGTGTAAATACACAAGTAGAAAAATTGCCTCCTTCCCCTGTTTTCAGGCTTGTTCCTCGGAGATGTGGCTCATGACGACCTTCAGCAGGCGTTTCAGCGACGTTCTTAGATTGAAAACGTACTTTTCTTCTAGGCACATGGTTGTTCAATATATATATATACGTGTGGCTTGCGAGTGTGATTACTACCGCCGTTATTGCACTCATCTTTATCATTCGCGCAGGTCCCGCTAAGCAAAGTCCGCAATATGATAACAAAAAACAACAAACAGTTTCTATGTATTTCTTCATTGATCTGCTGTCGATCTTTTCTCCCTTGATATATATATATATATATATATATATTATTAAGTGGCTTGTTTCTCTTCGTCTCTCAGCACCACATCACATATTTTCTATTTTCTTATGCTTACTTCTTCTAACAGGTTCTAGTAGCTTTCCTGCAGAGCAGAGGAAGCCGATGTTGTAGGTAAACTACATAATTTAGCTCGGGGGCCTGATCTGTCGTATCTGGGCTGGGCAACATCATTGTTCAAACGCCTGATTTCTCTGACGTTAGCTGGCGTAGCCGCTTTGAGAAGTGGCCGACCGTTTGTCCAATGCGAACACTTTTTCTCCGGCAGCATCTTCGCAGCGGTAGCTCTGTTTGTATTAGAGAATTGCCTATGTTCGCTTGCCATTTCTTTCTACGATGTTGCTATCTTACCTCACCACCACCGCTGCTGCCGCCATCGATGTTATTTTGCGCTGATGCACTCTTCGCTTCGTTTTTGTATTTTGCCAAAGAGATATTGGCCAGATAACCCCTGCCGAGTAGCTCTGGCAGCCGTAAGCAGGCATAAGCTGCAAATATGGCAGATGTGAAGATGCTGTTGTTTCGGTTAACTGGCGAAGTATTCTATAGACAAAGAGGGGGAAAAATGATGGGGAAAAGTGCTGAGAGGCCTATGGGTACGAACTGATGTACAAAATACCGACAGATACATCGGCGAAAACGCTACGGCTCCGTTGTGATTTTGGAGGAGTACCGATGCTCATATGTGCAGAAGCAAGCAACTGTTGTGACGAAGAATTTTCGTAGCCAATTCATCAGACAGCTCCTATACGGCAAATGTCCTTACACGACTTTTTCAACGTTTTACAGCTGCCAGATAGCTGGCACTCCATTGTCATCGTAGCCGCTCCTGCTGCTGTTATCGTGGTCAGGCCATTCTGTTTTCACAATGCATCCCATCCTCATATCAGGAGAAGGATTCAAGGGGAATGAAATTCACGCGCTCATTTGATTTTGCTGTTCGGCGCATGTGGTGCTATTAGATCAAAGTGTAAGGACTGACCATGTAGTGGTAGAATGGGCCAACGAAATTCGATTGTTCAAGCTGCTTGCTTTAAAGCGTCTTAAAGTGGTTTTTTTTTTTTGTTTTTGTTTCTAACGGTATGTGGCTAAGGGATAATGTGAATCGACGTTTTGCGAACGCCCACAAGTCGCCCACGCATGCAATCAAACGGGCAAACGATAATAGTAACCACGAGGCCTCTCCCTCTGTAATTATTCTTCTATTGTTGCTACAATTGTAAGGTACTCAGTTGACACTAAACCGAAGAATAGGCCACTGTTATCCAGCTAGACAGACATAATAGATGGGTCGGTTCGGCGTCCTTTCACATGATCAGGACAGTGGCTTCGTTGATTAACACAACAGAAAGATTATGTAGGGGCTACGCGGACTTGTCTTTTCTCAGTCAGCTACGAATATCTTCGACCGATAAGAAGCTATTCTAGCGAATTTGCACTACCCATCGGCCGATACAAATACCAATTCCTTCATTATAATAACATAATTTGCAATCCCGAACTGCTCCATTGTGACGGCCGCTTCAAGATAACCTACGGGTGTGAATCTAGTCACAACTACTTCTGGTGTTTCATTTCTCAATAGATTTTTAAACACAGCCGCTTTTTTTGTCTGTTTTCCAGAGACTTCGAACGGTGGACTTCATCCGATCGGGAAGAGCATATCCAGAGCACACCCCACTCGAAAATGGAATGTACGAACATAAGTCAGATTATCTACAATCTTTTAGAGTATCTTCCGCTAATTATCGTGCCATCCAATAACATGTGCAGCGACACTTAACAGGAAAGCTTAAGTTGCTTTCATAGGAAGCATTTGATTAACTAAAATGAATCTCGTTGTCAGTCATAGTTGAGTTGCTGAACTTTTACCTTTTTCTACTAATACACATTTTTTGTCTTTTTCGCTGCGCTGCTTTCTTCGCCTCTCATATAGTTAAACTTCACATCAAGAAACAACTTCAAAATTATACTAAATCTAGCGGCGAGACGCTACGGCTTCGTTGTGATTTTGGAGGAGTACCGAACAATGCTAAGGTAAAGATAACGTGGTTGAGGAACGAGGCTTCACTTGAGGATTACGAAGACGAACGGATTATAATTAAGAATATGGGGCAACATGCGACACGATTAAGGATTTCCGATCTCGCCTTTCTCGACAGTGGATTTTACTCTTGCCGAGCAGAAAGCCTGGAGGGTTATGGTACAGCTGAATCGAGCAGTATGGTGCAAATTCGCCCATCTCCAGGTAAGTGCTCCAAGTCGAAAAATAGCGGCTTGTACCAAACACGAGCCTTAATTTGTTGTTACTGATTAATATACCGCCAGCAAAACACTACTCTACAGGTCTATTGAATTCTTCTCGAAAAGAAGTTATTGAATGATGCATTTATGGATCATTTTCAATGATAGTAGTTAAGAATCATGTAATAGTAATTCATAATTCCTGCTGACGAGCAGGCATTGTATTAATACCTAAAGTCGTCAATAAAGTTATCAAGTTCTAATGCGGTCCGGACGGTATGGGAACGAGCACCCTTAGACAATGAAGTAGCATGGACAGAGATATCTAGTCATAGCCAACGACACGCACAGTTTGATGGTTGAAAGATAATTTATCTTCGTTTAAACATTCGAGGTCGGATATGGGTCGCGGACCGCGAGTTGCAGACGCGAAAACGAGATCAGTTGCCGAGCTATCATGCGTTCCTACTTTAGGTAGGCCCCTTTTGCCTAACCAAGTGTGGCGTTAGTAGAAAAGATCACATGATGGCCACAGATGATTTTAAGTGCCACACTACCATTATCATTTTTGTCGCTGAGTCGTTCGATGCAACGCATGCATATACATTACGTGTGTTGCATCCCGTCTAACAAGGTCTCGGCTACAGTAGATCTCAAGGCACGGGACGAAGCCATATTTCGTTCAAAGAGATGAGTAGATGATAACAAGTATAAAAACGAAGAAACGACTTTACGCGGCTGTTCATGCCGCAGGCGACCTTCCTGCGAATGTAGTAGGTCCGTGGGGCTCTTCCTGCGAATACTGAAAGCTAAGCGTAGGTTTGATCGTTCATTGGTTTCATCACCTTTCCATAAAACAAGAGAGAAGAGTGACAGATGGTTTTTTTGATCACTGATCTTTGCGTCCGATAAAACACGTAAAAAGACACATATGCAAGCCGACGCGTCCCAACTGTGTGACATCAGCGTAAATGGTTTTCATTCGGAAACACATAATTACTTTATATTATTGTTATTAGTATGAGATGAAATTATATTAAAATAGCAGGTAGGTTTTATTCACCAAGCACCGCGGGCGCACGTGAACCTTTGCATGTAGAGGATTACACACTCCAGGTAACTATTGTCATGCACACACATCATTCAAAGGTAGTCGGGTACTAATGCAACGTATCCGACCGTGAACTCCGTACAAGTCAACAGTGCTCGCCTTTTCGCTATTGGCGCACTAACTAATTAAGCTCTCTTCCAGCGAATGAAATTACATGGTTGCCCGTGACGACGACAAGGATCGCAATCAACGTGCATATCTTCCGATTTTAATTAAAAATCAGATTTGCCCGTCAGACACTCTTTTCAATATGGTCTTCATCAGTTTCTTCGTCCACATACAATATAGCCCTTGCTACTGCTGCCTCCTACAATCGGCGGTTTTTTGAAGCTGGGTTAACTTGGAGTCGTGAATAGTTTCACAGAATCTGCGAGGGTCCCAGCGATGAAACCAGTTGAAGGCCCAATCTTCAAATTTTCGCCGCACAGAATCATCTCCATTTTACTAACTTTTGTTGGCCAGTGCCAGTAAAGATTGTTTTTAAAGGTGTGAAAAACATTATCATTGTTATTTTTTATGTCACAAAACTTGCTAATGCCGTGTGGAATTGTTTACAACATAAAACGTCGTACATTCGTGCTGTTGTGGCATTGTGATGGCAGGGCCCCATCGACCATCACGACTGACCCATATTAACCGCTGTTTTGTCCGAAATTATAGGCGTTGCACCTGACAATGCTAAAAAATGTTTGTATCAAAATACACTTCAAATTATCACCAAGGCTTTGGACAGCCAGAAGTTGTCGACCTTTCTTTTACGGCCACTTGTCTCGTCTCCTCTTGTTTTTATTTTACATCACTTGTTTGCTCACAGCACTTGTTTGCTGATGAACTCGATATTTAGTAACAGCTTATGAGTGCTGTGGTCAAGTCCATATCGAGTATAAGTTGAGTACATCATCAACATGGCGAGTGTTGACAGGCGGTGGTACCTGCTATACTTTCTCATCCGGTGCATAGGTTGAGTTGAACAGAACTTGTGTCTTGCATTTATCAGTATCGTCCTGAGATGACAGGCCAGACTGAGGAACTGTCTGTAGATTTGTTATTGTTACTAATTATTGTTAGTTATTTGTAGTGGTAGCCAAGGCTCGACGGCACAGCGTTATCATTTAGGGCTTTCTAGTGGTTTTTCTGTTATATATTGCTCATACACGCACATGTTTTCGTTCTGATGAACCAACGCTGACTTAAATTACATCTGTTTTGCGTGGCCGTCAAGAACTTCTCTCACATTGATAATATTTAGTGCTAAAGTAGCGAGGAACCGCGAAAAAAAAAAACATTTTTTACAAACCTGCCGTTGCTTTTTGTTGGCTAAATCATTGTTTATTCTATTGTTGTTAGCTCTAGTGCCACCAATAATCAGTCTGTTTCATTTATTTTTTAGGAAGTCGAGACTGTCTATCATTACAAGCTGAATGCGTATGACACAAAGGGCACAAATATTCCTGCTCCATATTACCATTACATCCCAGGACAGCATCTAGGTATTTTTGTCTCGAACCTAACCATCATGGAATCAATGCGCGTGTGCTGTGGGGGGTCAATTGGACAGCTGTGTTTCCACTGTCGTTACTGTCCAGTAAGCGTTTCTACTGGCGGTTGTGCTTTTGCGACGGTCTGAGCCGAAGTCGATTGCTCTTTTCAGCGCCCCACAGCCCCAATAGAAGGCGAGGCGAAAAACGAAGTGTGTGGGGCGTCTTGTGCCACCGGATTGTAGTACACCCACTTCTTCTATTGGTAGTGACTCTGTTAGAGCCACTGACATCTCTGACAGCTTTAGCCCAAATGAGAACAAAGTGTGGATTTCTATTTGATTCGGTACTTGGCCTACTAAGGATGGAGCACAGTGACGAGGATCCACTAACAACAGTCTTCGCAAATATGCCAATATCTATATACAACTGTGGCTGACAGAACTGAAAGTGAATTCAAAACAGCAGCACCCAACCGTTATCTTTAAAAATAGCATCAATACACGTCGCAATCGACCGATACATTTCAGTTTATGGGTATATATATGCCTCTCAGAGGCCTCCCTCACACGCCGTTGTTGCCGCTACTAGTTCTGTGGTTACTTAGGTAGCTTGGTCCTTTCCGTTTGGTACTGCCCAACGAAAGTGACGAGGAAGGTTCAGCGTATATTAAGGCCTTCACATAGTCACGGTCAGGATAGGTGCATATAACGTCTAGTCAATAGATTAAATTTACCGTGTACATGGCATGAGACTAACCCCCTAGGAGTACTTGTATAAACAGTCAACGACTGCTATCGTGTCCTACTGGCCCTACCATTTCGTTAGTTCTTCTTAGAGGTGAGCGGGTCGTCAGTTGAGCTAGGAAAAATAGTCAACAGTTTAACAGAAATCTGCAACACGATTTGGCGGGTGATGCATAATAATAACGCTGGTGATAAGGATTGTACTCTGAAGATGATTTTTTACACATGTGCTATGAGGACATTAAATGAATTTCAACAAACCACTTCATATTAACCGCATTCAGAAGCTGGGCATAACTGTTTTTATGCGTGACATCGGTATCGCTCTATGAAGCCGCTACCGGTTTAATAAACAAACAGAAACGTAATCTTTTTTTGACTTAAATATCAACTAATATATTTGCTTATTGCTAATTTATCAAAAGCTATTGAGAGTTGCTTGTAATCGTGTGCCGTTCAGCATTGGCTCGTTCGTATACCTGCAGGCTCAACACATCATTAGTTCTTCTCGCTGAAGACAGTAAAGCAAAGCTTTTACCTATGTATGCCCCTACCTTTTTGAGACTCTTCTTGATGTAGCACATTTTTACTTGTCCCTTTTATTTGCTATAGAGAAAAAATACACTGATACACTATACGAAACAACGATAGCATACAACCCAACCGGTGAAGGCCATAGAGTGTCAGTCAATGAAAAAAGTAGTAACGTTGTTTTTAGCCGACTAGACGCAATGGTTATGAAAAAGAAATGTCTTCTTTTGGTTCATTCGGAAATCTGTACAGTTAACTGTTCAATAGACATGGACATAAGCCAAGTGCGTATTACAACAATAACGTCTTTACTAACAAACGTAATAACATTTGGGGTTAGCAGTTAAAAGATCATTTTAGAGTGATTAGAGAGATCACAGTGGGAGAGTCGCTCAACAACGATCAGCGAGCCAGCATCATTTTCAAGCCGCTGATTGGTAAAATGTCACCTGTCTCAGGCCATGTCGACAATCAGATCGCGCATACAGATGTGACCGAACACATATTCTTAATAATGAGTACAGGGCCGGATCATTCTCTTCTTTTGTAATATCTTCAGTAATAGCACTTTTAATTGTCACGTGTTGTGGCACTGGCGTAGATCTATCATGGACGATCCACGCGAGACGTTCCAATCTCTTCTTTGGTTCTCCTCTGTCTTGTTTGGCGTTCATACACTGCGACCAACACAGCGGCAACTGCTATGCTTTCAACAAACATGTTATTGTCAAATTGAGCCAGGTTCCGTCGATTACGGCCCGCGCTGCTGTACACATGCACAGGCGAAGCTAATTGGCCGATGAGTACATCAAATATTGTATCAAAATTAGCATTATATGGAAGGCTGCTGTGAGTGAGATGGTCGCGTTAACGTACCGGCATCGTAAGAAACGATGCGTCGAACATTTGAAATAGCCACCGTTAGAAGCAATATACATCGCTATAGTTTACCTTGAGACGAACGCGCAAGCACATCGACTCGGAAAAACGTTATTTCCTAGAAAAAATTATGGATGTTTGGTACTATCTAGGCTCATATTGATGCGCCCGGATGTGGCCTTCTCAAAGTCGACAGCGACTATCAGTACACCTATCGATCGTTGTTGCTGCTGTTACTGATAATCGACCTAAAACCGTGATAATGATGATGTGAAAGACACTAGTACGTGTGTGGCTTCTGCTCTCGTCTGTGAATAACAAATCAAATACGCCGTCGGTCGAGTTTGCAGGAAAACATATCCTTGAATTGGCTAAAGGACCAAACGAGAATCGAAAGCCCAAGGAAACGATGAGCGTAGGCCGTGCAAGGAAAAGTGTAGCCCAGAATTTGGCAGAGGATGTACGCTTTATACATAGTTGCCAGCTTCGTTCCCGCTACGATTCATTACCACGGCTATTGTTGACGTTGGTGCTGTGGTCCTTCAGTTCCCCCCCCAAGTCGCCAACGCCGTGGCATCCTGGTTGCGTACAATTGCGCATCGGTTGTGCCCCTCAAATAAGTAATTTGTCATCCATATGTCTGTTCTGCATTGAAGGCGGAAACTCGTTTTTTTTTGTTGTCGCAATGATTGGTCTGCAGCAGCTGGGTCACGGAGAAACATCGCACCCGCGCCCGACTCTGCCTGACATGGTTGGCAAAATTCAGTGGTCGCTTGACAACTAGGATAGTAAAAAAAAGTAGAAACTAGTACAACTGTAAGAAGTGAATGACGTATAGGCTGAAAGCTAAAAAAAGGCTACCATTACTTTTCACCAGATCAATGTATTTATCTTGTACTATATATGTCTATTAGATTTAATAAAGAGCGATAGCTCGGTAATCGGGTTCCACGCCAACGCTTTATAGCTGGCAAATGGGCATATATTTTTTATGGCTACTCTCAATTGCATTACTATTTTATGCACACGTCACACCCATGTTCATAGTGCTTGCTATATTATATGACGCGACCCTGTATGTATATGCGGTGTGTTGTACGCGACTGCAACTAAATCTGATGTTAATTATATTCGGTATTTTTGGTTCGGCAAACGTGTAATAGCGTGGGGTAGTGGTAAAATTGAACATTCACAGCTAGCAACCCCATCGGCATCGTCAGGAAAAAGCTCCCTGGTCATTACTTAATATTGCAAAATAATAATCTACTTCCAGCTGACGCAAAAGCGTGTTCCCTCGAGCACACAAGCTACACGCATTGCAATATATATTGGTATCTATTCGGATACAACAGGCTAAACATACATCCATATAAAGAGAAAGTTCAGCCTAAAGGAGTTCGTATGGAAGATGCACTGACTTCGATTGATACCTATTTCTCGATTGCTACCTTGATGCCTACAGTTACTATAGTAGATATCTTAGGCCACTTGCCTTAAGTACACCTTACAATACTCTTACTGCATCTTCCTCTTTATGGCCCTTCGTAGCCGTCAGTGAGTGGCGCAACCGAACGCTGCGATCATGTTTAGTTAACGTCGAACGATGAAAATTCTCAACGTGGCTCAGTGTCTTATCAGAGTGCCAAAAAAAGGGCAGCGGATAAGCCGCCAACATGTGACGCTCTTCAGCCTTGCTTAGCTGTCGAGCTTGCTGGCGCCATCTAGAAGAATTAGGAGCAGACGATTTTGGTAACAACCTGGTGGGAGAACCGGAAGGAAAGCCGATACTCGAATCTGCGACATAACCGAAGATTGGAACCGACACGCCGTTCCGTGGATTGTTCTATAGCGGCCGCAGAAGTTACGTTGTCTTGATGTCGTTAACAGGGCGGTGTATGCAGTATCGAGGTGGTGGAAAGGAATGACATATCCAGGCTTGATCTATTACTTGTATAGACCGAGGATAACGATCAACTCTAGACAAGACAGGTTGAAAGAGATCAGTCTGAGTTTAATCTCAGTACACACGAACGTGAACGTATCTTGCCATTCATACTGTGCGTTAAGTAGCGCTCCTTAAACCGAAATACAGGCGACTGAATAAAAGACGTGTACAAACGCAATGCTGTCACGCAATGCCGAACGGCTACCGAACTGCGGGAAAGTTCGGATGGCGGTAAATCCATTATTTTACGCTTTATTTGATCGTGATTCATGTTACAGTCAAATCTTATCAGTGATAGCCATAAAAGTGAAGCAGTAAAAAGTACAGGTGGAACTTACGTACATGAGTCATCCTATGAGACCCACGTGTTGTGATGATGAGCTCTCGGATGATGCAATTGATAACTGTTAAGTACTCTTAATTCGCTAATGCTTATTGATGTCAGTGTTTGAACAGCAAAATATGATATAGTAAATCAGCGGCGGCCAGTTTAGGTAAGTTAAATCGACGAAGCGCCGCTACATAGTTGTTGCTACACGTTGTTGTTGAAGCGACTCCGTATACTTCTACCAAGGCCTGTCGCGGACAGGACTGCCGCTAGTCAACTACGGATTTCAACTAGTAATACCGTCAATCGATGAAATTTTTACTGAGAAAACGATGAACCTCAATCAGACAACGAACGTTAAAAATTCAAAAAATTAGCTTCCCAAATGTGATAATAATATGAGGGTAGGTTTCGTTAGCTCAAACCTACAATAGCCATAGCCGTATACAAGCATAATAGCCTACTGCTGCAAATAAACTGCCCATTATTATAATGGTCCAGCCTGTAAATGATTGTAATCACATTATCTAGCTCCCAAACGGCTTAGATATGATGCAGAAAAAGAAAAACACGCTCATTTTTTTTCACAACACGAATAAATAATCTGTGCTCTCTTCGTTAACGCAACCTCTCACGGCATCGCCCTGGCTTCTTTATTTCCACCTTGACTATCCTTCTACACGGTTACCGTAGCTAGCGAATTATGTCTTAGTTCTGATACTGTATAGAATCGATACCAGTCGGAAGTCGAACAGCTTCAACGAACAGGAAACTTTGAGGGTTGTACTCTACCTCGCTACGACGTACCCACTTATTAAGTCATTTGTTCATTCAAACTCAGCTGATTATTCTGTCGACCCTATATTGCCTCCTCACGCTTATCGGCATCAGATGGTGGAATGCTCCTCGCCGATGCTGCCATTCGCTGCTGATAGCGGCTAGTTGGCTACTAATTCCGTTACTTTACAAAAAAATCCACGTGTTAAGGTCACCCTCCTGTGGCTATCCTTGTTCGCTTTGTTAAACCACCATGCATGCGTGGCTAGATCCGGCTAAACTGAACCTGAGTTAGGTCTGCCTTCATTTTTACCTCATTATAACAAAACCGCACAAACGAGTCAGCTGGGCAGATTATTGCTTAGCACCACTGCTTTATTTAACTGGGACAGTTCACCGCTTACCGCTCACTGGTAACTCTGGTGCTTGTCAGCGGCTAGAGACTAAATTGCCTTCATGTATTTTGCTGCGTATCTGAATCGGTCCTTCTCCCAATCTTTGTCTCCTTTCGTAGTTATCCTTATTTTCTTGGCGTTTTTGTTGTCGTTCCCCTTATTTTTCCAACTAAATATAATGCTCGACAATTAGCTTTCTTATGTCGCTGTAACCCTGTATGCCTGTTTGCAGGAATTACCCAGTAACTCGATCTGCCTTTTGAACACTGGTAACAGTTGCAACTGCTATTGCTGTTAACGCTCCTTTTGCCATCATTGTCACGATTATAGTTTTTTTTTTTTTTTTTTTTCCTGTTAGCGTTCGTCTTTTGTTCCGTTCACGGGTTTTTGTTTTTGTCACTCACAAATATTACGTTACAATTACTCGTCGTATTTGCCATCGTGGGTATCACTACTGCCAATAGAGGGAATTGCCTTTGTCGTTTTTGCCACAAACAGCATTTTCTGTCACGTAATGCCACATTTCTATTCGTATAACATTAATGCGGCGTATTACATAGATATTAGTAAACTCACGTTACGAGAATCGAAGGGCTTTGTTAGATGGATTTTTTTTTATTTGGAATATGTAGTGAGTTCCACGGTAGGCGTTGCTCGTATCGATATAGTTTGTGCCTGCATATACATATATGGGTGAGTGCATAAAGTCATTTTCGCGCCAGTCAGAGGCCAGTCTTCACATAGGAAGTGTTTATTTTTTTTTTGCTTTCCATCTGATTTGCTTTTACTATCGTGAATCTAGCATATTTCATATGAAAATGCAGACTCTTTAGTGCCTAAATGATATTCCAAATAGCATCAGAGTGCCGCCGGTAGCGTTGCTATTGCGGTAGCAATTGTACGGTATTTGTTCCCTATTCAGCTCACTGGGTGGGCTGATTATTCGAACAGTGGTTTCAACAGCGCTGGCTGACGTCGCTGAGGGCCTCTGTGCGTGACTACCTGTGGTGAAACTCGTGAGTAACGTACAATTGATTTGTACACCAAGGCACAAGGCTGTACGCAAACGCAGTAAGCGAGTCGGGCTGGCACACGAAATTCATAACGACACTAACCCCTTAAATACGCTCGTAGTAGTTAAACATAAAGTAAAAGCTGGCATTCTTGCCTTATCCGGAGCCAGAAGATCGCTTTCGTTAAACTGCCGGCCCTTTCGGCCGTTTGTTGGCTAACGATTTGTTTTTTTAGTGAATAAATCGTCGGATCAGAAGATTGTTTAACTATTGCAGCTTTATCGCGTTCTCAGGCATCGTCTTGTGGGTACCGAGGCAAACTATATATATACGCCTAACAACATTAATTTGGAAGCGGCGTTATAAAATATTTCCGTTTCGTTGGTTAGGAAGATTTCGCGAAGCAAAATACGGCATTATAGTAAACAAAACATATAACGGGCTAATGACTCACAAGTAAATGACGTTGAACACGGTAGTGATAGGATAGGCGTATTTTTGAAAAACGGAAAAAAAGTAAATTTGAAAAAATTAATAATCGCAACACACTAAAGCAGGATCCTTCTTATTCTACACTGCTTTAGAATATCCAGTAAACATGGCTATGTTCAAACATGCATTACATCGTTGGTGCTTGTTTTTAAGCAACGTTACTTACGTTTATCTTCAATTCCAGTAACGGTAAGCTAATAGGGCTTATTGTTGCCAAGGGGATATCTTTTCTATAACTAATGCATTGTGTTCATCTCAATTACAGACTACGAAGGGCGAAAGCAGCAATTTTCCCCAGAATTTCCATATCTGCCTCCAGGGGTTGGCAGCGGCAGTCCCCACGCCTTTCCAAAACATCCTGGCCTCTCTCCATTTCCACAAGGGTTCCCCAACAAAGGCTTCGAAGGAGAGTAAGTATCTCGTTTGTCTGTTGTGTAACTTCTTAGAGCTGTTTTACGTGATTAGCATTTTCTCGCAATCAAAAATATAAGTTAGATCCGTTGGATATTATAGGGCTTTCTAAAGTTTGTTTTCACTGATCATATGCTATGTATATACAGCAGTGTGCTTCTGAGTTAACTATTTCCGACGCTGACAAACGATTTTCTATCTACGCCTGTGTTTAAAAGTCGATCCGATTTCAACGCTTTCTGTTTAATCACCCTGTCTATAATATTTCGAACATCGAATGGCTCTAGCCTAACAAGCGACAACGCTCAATCCTGAGATCAATGAAGGACACATACGAAGAATCACTATAATTAAGCTCATCCGCTGCGTGCGTGTTACCACTGTCTGCGCAAATGGGATAAGTAAATTTTTCTTTCTATGGTAATGTCTCTTTCACTCGTTCCGTTTTCCTCTGCCTGATTACGTTATCGCTTCCGTATGAGACGGCCTTTCGCTGGCCAGCAGGACAAACAAAATGCAGTAGCCGGCCCCGGTTGAACCAGTTTTCCGCTTCTACACAAATGTAGACGTTGTAACTGCGGCATTATCTCCGTATTACTATGATTACTTGCACGCACTTGTCCTGTGTGCATGTAGCATGTATATATGTGAGTGTCTAACGACACAACGAATTCTATTCTGTTTGAATGGAAATAACAGTATATATTAGCTATTAGAAAAGCATTCGTTTATTCAGTGTTGCTTCTTGATAGACTCCGCTAGACCAGTTGTTGTATCAACGAAAGGAGATAACACAGCGCCTGTCAACGACACTCGCAGCTGCAGCCGAGGAAGATAGAGAACCCTTTAGCAGCTAATTGTCGGCAAACAAAGACGACTGGTGGAGTTATAAAATTGACACTTGCTATGAGTTGGTTCACAGTGTGCGCGAATCCCGTCTATCTAATATTTACGGAACGATCGACCGATAGCATAGGCCCACGCAGACGGAGTTTTTCTGTCTGCCTGATGTGACCATGCTGTCGTCCAATTGGTAGCAGTGTTATTATTACCCGTTCCATCGTAGTCGCATTCGTCGCTCACGATCGAATCGACGAAACAAGCCCCATCGTTAACAATTGTTATTACCGAGGCTCACTTAGTTACCCTTTTCTCTAATGGAAACCTGCAGATAATACTAATTTGTGTACAGCCACAGTGGGCAAGTGGGGCTCGTATCAATTGCATATAAACAAAAAGTGTAGATATACAAATGTGGTATACAAATGCACAGTTACAGGTTTTATAGCACCAGCGGACCGAACTTTCCTGACCCTGATTAGTCGGTCAGTCGGTCTCGGCAAAGGCAATCGTGCGCAGGACACTCCGCGCAGCTGCCACTGCTGGCCGCCGCCGCCGCGGCCACGTCGAGTCATCGGCGAGTCATTCAGCAACATTCGCGGCTTTCACAGATGCTCTCATATCTATATATTAATATATCGATCAACAACGTATATATGATCCATTACCTGCGGACGCATTTGACTCTCTTTCACTATTCAACACACGTGAGACGCTCGTGCAGCCATAGGGTAGTTGACACTCGTGCTCTTCTAACGTTCGAAGATTTAGCGACGATGAGATTTGGACGGAGGCGCGGATACGATCATTTTATTGATGCCGGCGGTGATGGCGTTCTGCTGATGGAGACGGCAGACATGCTGACAATGCTATCAGCCGTAAGCTATTATGTAGAAGCTGCAGTAGATAAATCCGTCCTTTGATAGTTATCACGCGTATAAATATCAGACGACAGTGGTGCTAATGGCGATGCGCTACCTGGTGGGAAGCCGTGGGAAGACTGGGAATTGGGTGGCTGGCAGGTACAACAACAATATAGAAAAACTCTATCGATTTCGACGAGCCGAAAGTAAAGCAGCAAAGCAGGTCTATTAAATAAATCAACTGCAACAGTTACCATCACACCTTTCACGGCAAGCGATAGGGAGATCTCCAGACTGTCTGGCTGTTGCAGCAGAAGTGTCACGCCACTGCGTAAAACGATTTGATAGCAAGGTACATGTAGCGTATCGACAGCCAATAACTGAAAAAGTAACATAAGTGAGACTAACAAACGAACTAAGTATTAACGCGCTACGAACGATATCAAGGACACAGAAGTGTCATCTGCGTACAACAAGGTATAAATACGTTTTCCTATTGTGGTCAGATTATACTTGACGCTTAGTGGTAGCTCGAGCAAAGGATACGGAATCAATCTGACGTCAACCAGTAGTGCAGCAGACAGCATGTCTTGTTCGTTGATGCCATCGAAAAACATTTTATCCAAGCGCGATGTGGGCTCAGCTCATATGGAATCTTCGTGGAGTTCGTGAAGAAGGCATATCCTTCCAAGCCAAGAGTGAAGTAGGCACTCGTACCTATATTATGCATCGTTTATATTCAGATTCGCTTAATTTGACATGCATCTATTATCGAATAAAAACGGTTAGGCCAATACCGGGCCACTTTCGAAGCAGATGCCTTACGATCCTACCATCGAGTAATCACGTTTGTGGCAGTACAAATACACACATCTGTACCTATATTCATCAAATAAAATTTTTCGTTAACCTGCTAAATAATACCTGTGTTTACCTAAAGTAGTCTGTGCTCGAGTCCCTATTAATCGGCCGTGCCATCCACTCATAGTCTTTTTTTGCCATTAATCGATAGTACACATAATACGCTTACTGAAGAGGCGGAGCATATTTATAGGTCAGAGGACACCTAGACCACATGCCAGTTGTCACCGTGGTTCCTTGTCTTAGTCGAGCAGCGACTTAACATCACCATGGTGCAGAGGTCATTGCTACAAGCAGTTGTAGGCAGTATACAGAACTCTGATCTTTCATAATGTCTTGAGCCGAAGTTCCTTAAAGACTCGACGCCAACAATGTTACAAGCCGTCGTATCAGTACGCTCCGATTCCATACGTGCACAACGCACAGAGTCTACTGCAATGACGCGTAGATCCTGTAGGATACCCAAGATGTTCTCTGAAGAGCATTAAACGCACCTTTGGAACGCTGCTCCAAAGCTGTACGCTCAGAAGTGCTTTCTGGTTAATGATTTTCCTTCTAAAGTTTCGCTTCTCCCCGGACAAGACCAGAGTAATATCACGACTCAGTCGCCCTCTCCAACACCTCCATCTGTTGCTTCTCTATGTCGTTTTGCTTGCATTTTGCCTGGTAACAGTGTAATAATACTACTAACAGCAACAATCGATTGTTGGTTTGCCATGTTTGATTCTGAGAAATTAAAACACTTTCACTCGTACAACGTACAACCCTTGCTGCCCCTTCGGTAATTGCTCTAACGAATTTGCTACTTTTCGAGTGACTCTGCTAACAACAGTTATTGACTCCCCAATAGATTCAAACTTTTCCGGCGCACTATTTTCCAACTCACAGATCGTAACGTTGCTGTTTCTATTGTTGATTAATATTTCTGGCTTAACAGATGCTACTTTGTTGAAGTTTGTTATCGCTGTTGTATCAGCCATTGCGGTTACTAAGACCATTGCGAAAGTGTGGGCCGTTGTTTGCTCAACCCTTGATGCTTGTTTTCTTGAACCCAGTGGGCTCGATTTTCGTTCGTTCGTTCGTTTGTTCGTTCGTTCGTTCGTTCTCTACCCATCATCATCGACTACAGCAGTCACCGGCTACTTTTAGGACGCTGGCAAATGTTGATGTCGTTGAAATGTCGAATGGACAGAGAGAAAACGACTGTCCTATCATCCAGCCTGCAACCCAATAACATGATCCCCGAAAAAAGACCGATCGAGACCGAGCCTTTCTTCAGCCCAGAGAGGAGTTGCCGCCTTTAGAAAAATAAGTTTGTATCTCTTCTCTTATGCTAACGACGCTGATGACATATGAGGTGGTTGAACCTAACGATTAGAGATCGAGACGATTGGCAGGCTTGAAATACTATCGTTTTGACAAGTTAGTGCAAAAAAATGGGTGGACATCCACATACGAGGCGACTGCTGGTGTCGAACAGATGAAACTCCATCGACAGCTAGTTGAAACATTACATAGATGTTCAAGGACAGCTGTAGTCTTCAGATATAATCCTTCATAAGCCGTACTGTACACCCAAATCCTAATAAGGCTAGATGGATGTAGTAATACCTCAGCATATGATTACGCAAATAAAATAAATGAGATGATCTTTGAACAAAAGTTAAAATACGTTCGGTATGATGAAGTTAAAATAACTTTATATATATATATAATATAATATATATATATATATATATTACGCTTATATATTGAAAACTAACTGTACATTTGACCGTAGACATGAACCAGACTGAAGCTTCCATTTCGTGTAAAGCATCATCCATGTCATGGTCAAACATATCTACCTCCGCGCAAACCACGCAAACACAAGTGCCCATCGATGAAAGTCTCCTAAGGCTGTACCATCGCATGACGTCAACATGACACTTCTACACCCGGTTGAATGTTTAGTCATCACTAACACTTAAACATGTACACATTGATCGCTGCGATTCTTCACTCGTTCTTTGCTTCCTCGATCGAGAAGGGAACAGGTTTAGAGGTTTAAAAAAATAATATCTATGTGTTCCGATAACTCTATCCCTAAAATCGAACTCATTTATCTTGGATGGGTGACAATGGTAATCAACGATCAGGCTCATTCCTTGTCAGTTACACGCACACAATCACCGCACAAAAAAAACAAGAGAGAAAGGAGAGACTGCCATCAGTCGGAAGCGTGATTTAGAAGAGTCTCTAGATATTCTTCTTCGCGGAGTCTTCTGATCCCGGAGGCCCTGATACAAATACAACAGAACACAGATATGGTAGGCTTTCACACAGTTCGGCGCATACTCACATACGCTAAGTCAGTCTGTACCTAATCGACTATATACTTAATAGATCCGAGTGAATGCTCTACCTTTTCCAAAGCAGTCTTTTTCTTTTGAGCA